CTCACCAATCTGCTTGCCTGGGACTCCCACCTCCCATTCAACTGCCTGCACAGTCCTGAAATTACAGCAGCATCCAGGATTGTGGGATCGCCTTTGCTAGGCAACGTGGTCATATGGCATTGTGCTTCATGACCGCACTTCTCAGCAACAAAAATTCCAGTCTCGATTGCTGTCATAACCTGAGGATTTACCTGCATTTCTATCTTATCCTTTAGGGTCTTTTCTCAGTGTCGTTTGTCACTCGGTAACTTCCACCTGGAGCTCCTGTAGTGACACAAAACACAGCTTTATGTGAAAGAAGTGAGTTGTTCACATGTTTTCTCTTAGTATCTTCTTCTTATTGAAAATTTTGAGTTTGAGTGAACTTATGTAGTTGCTTTTTGAAAGTTTTCATACATGGTTTTCAATCTGTTTGTATTTTTACTGTAAGCTGGCCAGAGCCATTTTGTAGTAAGTAGAATATAAATTTGTGAAGTAAAGGAAATAACATCTTTTTTCCTCCTTTTCTGAAATGAGTATAACCATTTCAGTAATTGGACCATGATCCAGCTGGTGGGATCCTTTACTGGCCCTACCATTTCTACATAGAAGAAATGATTTGAGAACCAAATCATTTGGTTCCAGTTTGGTCTAGTGATGAAGGTACTGGAGTAGGAAAATTGGGTTCTATTTTTGCTTTAGGCAGGGAAACCAACTTTGGGTGGCTTTGGGCCGGTCATTTTCTCATAGCCCTAGGAAGAAGGCAGTGTTCTGCCCCAGCTACGGACCCCAAAAAACGCAGCACACACAAAGTCCGTACAAACCTTAATTTACTAATTAAAGACTACTAATGAGCTTTCTTAGTAGTTGTTTGAACACAAGTACAATAAATCAGTCTTTTCTGAACAAGGGCTGTTAATTTAACTTCATTAACAGCCAGCAAGAATTCAAAGAATAATAACTCAGTTCTGAGGCACAGTATTTCAGATAACCATAATCTTACTGTGGTTGACAGAATGCCCAGAAGCAATTTGCAGGGAAACTGATAAGAAAGAAACAAGAGCCAAATCAAACATTTTCTGTAATCAAGACGTGAAGAAATTTGAACGAAATTGTTTCCTGCGAATTGCATCAGTCGTTGTCCTTCCTTAAATAAGCTAGGGGAGTGGACAATTAGCCCCAAGCCTTACTCTCGAGGAGACCTCCTCCTGAGGAGCCACTCCTGCCTTTTCCTAGCTCTGCACGCTCGTGCATCGAGAAGAGGCTCCTCCTCTTTTTCCTCTTCACTTATGGGAGCTTCTGGAGGTTTTGAAGGCCCTGGCTGAATCCCCGCCTCTGGCACCACATCTTCTCCAGCCTCCTCATTGTCCGACTCGAGTGGCAACTACACAGGCTGCTGGCGCAGCACCACACCAGCCTCCTCGCTGTCGGAATCAGCTACTAACTGCACAGGCCGCTGACAGGCCACAACAAGCAGTAGTAAACCACTTCTGATAATCTTGTCTAGAAAAGCATATAGACTTGTTCAGGTTGTCACTAGGAATAAAGTCTGACTCAAATGCAAAAAAAAGAAGTTTGCTAATTATTAGTTGTTCAACTCTGTTCAGTTTTATGGAGAAAGTACTCAAATGGTTGCTTTGTGGTATGAAAACCTCTGATAAACCTTCCCCACTTTTTTCATTATTCCAGTTGATTTTGCATGATTCATTATAAAATTTTCAGACATCAGCCTTTGTCCTTATGGGTTTCTCTGAGCCTTTTTTAATTCAAGGATTTTATCCAGTGAAGTCAAAATCCTGTCTTAGTGGCATTGTTTCTATAGAAAGCATGATGACACGTATTCAGTATTGTACGAAATCTTGGTGAAAATTTGAAGTGGTAAAGCAGAGGGGGAAAGGTTTTGAGCATTTACCATTATAATTTTAACTAAATTTTAAATGGATTAAATGTGATTTCCAATGTCCTAGAAACTCTTTGGTGAGTTTTGATGATTCTTTTTTTTAAATGATCCAGTTAAATTCACTTTAGGAAAAAAAGGAATATTTTTTTAAAAACTACTCATTTGCATAGAAGTGCTGAATGAAAGAATGCTGTTGCACTGAAGATTTTTTTAAAACCCTCTTCACCTGTGATACTGAATAGTTTGGCTTTCACAAAAAGTCCTCAAAGAAGAAATATTGCCTGAAGGCCTACAGTATTTAGATTACAAAGACCTGGCATATATCTTCCCTCACCCCTTTTAAATCCAGAAACATATTTGTGGGAGCAATGACCTATTGGGAAGCTGTTGCTTTTTCTGATAAACGCTATTCCCTTGTCTCATTCTCCACTTCCTCTTTCTTATCTTGTTTTCATCATTGGCCACTTCATTTCTTTCTATAGGGCCTGAACTGTCATTTTTTTTCCCCCTCTTCATTTTTAAAAAAGTTTTCTACTATTCTGTAAATATATATGTTGAGTATTTATTTACTTCCTCAATTTATGTAGCTGTTCATTGTAGATACTTTTACGTGATTAGATGACTTAGAATAAAACAGATCAAAATACATAACATAAAACAAAAATAAAAGCACACAGCAGCTGCTACATGAGTCCTCTGCAGCGGAGTTATGATCTGACCTATCATCCATATATTTATATCTAACCCACATCCAGGCTCCCAGGCTTGAGCGCAATGGCAAGTTTTCAGGGTCTTATGAAAGACTAATGGGGACAAGACCAATCTAATCTCCGAAGAAATGATGTTCCAAAGGGGCACACTTTTAAAGCTTAAAATAAGGTGGATGGTTTCTTTATACTAATTTTTCGGTGCAAGTAGGTTCAGGAGTTAGTTTTCTGATAGCTGATGGGTTTACTGAGAAATACATAAAATAATATTAAAATGTTGATTCTGTTAGAATTCCTATAATATTCAAGTCTCTTCCTCCACAAGGGAGCTAAATGTTTATCTGTTTCACATTATTTTTGTAATCCACATTTTACGAGAGCAACTTTTTTAGACTTGCTCACTTCTATTCAGTGATTATGAGTTAGAGGAAAAGTGATAGAATTGTTCTAAGTTTTTGCAGTTCTTTGAAAATATCTCTTTAACTCTGCATTTTGAAGTGTTGAATTGTACAAATGTTATGTTAATTATTTCCTAACTGGTTTGGAGCTTTCGAGCATTCAGTGCAATCTTTTCCTTTTCCTTCTTTATTGTTAATGATGGCAAATAAACTTAATCTCTTAGAGAATTGTAAATCGCTTATACTCATTATTCAGTAGTGATATCAACCTGTGGTTTCTTATTAAAGTCAGATCTTGCCCCTCTTTAAATATTAGTGTTATATTGGCCTCTTTCCAGCTGTCCGGCACTTTCCCCCTTGATAAAATTCATAGTGTTTTGTTCATCCTAAAAACATTTATAATAAGAACCTGATGATCCATATGGTCCAAGCACCTTTCCAGGTTTATTTTTTTTTATAGCTTTAAACATTTTCCTTAGATAGATCTATTCACAATTGTTTCTGTTCCTCTGTAATCTTCGATAGATTGTGTTTATTTAGAATTTCATCTATTTTCTTCAGAGAGATGTCCCTTCCTTTCGTAATCTATGTGGAAACAAACTCTTTAGTGATTTCTGTACAAAGGTGCTTTTTCAAGACTTCGCTGCTTCTTCTAAGAAGCTTCTTCGGTTTAAGAAGCTTCTTTGATGAGAAGTGAAACATCTTCAAGGAAAAACAAAGTCTAGTTACCTTTTGAAAAAGAACCTTTGGGATAACCATGACGTAGATGAATGAGAATCTCCATAGACATTTATTTCTGTACAGTTTTCTTTGTGCTTGTAAGGAGAAAGTATCCAGTGTAACTATTCTTCTTTAACCCATTGCCATTCCCTCCCCCTCTTTTGCTGTTTTTTTCTTTTTTACTGGAAGAAGGAATGAGAGTGTTATGTGTAGCTTTGTGATTTTCTGAGTAGTTCATGTGTGTCATGGGATGGCTGTTGAATGTTTGTTTTCTAAATGGCTACCTTACTTTTTAAGATAAAAATTAAGATCTTATATGTTGGAAAAATATTAGTTTTAGTTGGAAGGTGGGAATGGCAGAGGATTTTTATTTCTGTGTTTGTACTTCTGTTTTTGGAATGGTCAACTTAAAATCAGGGTCATTTGTTTTCGGGTAAAGACAGAAACTTATCTAACTGTGGAAGAACAAATATCATGTGAGATAAGCTGGATGCAGCTGATTATTTTGCTCTTCTGCTCTTGTTTCTTCTGTCTTTTTTTCCCCTCTTGCCAGGCGGTTTTATATTGTTGCCTATATTTGCAAAAATACATACATTAAAAAAAAAAGGTCTCCGTGTTTAGAAGACCAAAGAGCAAAACAAGCCAAAAAAAAAAAAAGTGTGTGTGTGTGGGGGGGAAGGCCGGAGTAAGAAGCTATGGATTGAAAGCTGCCAGCAGTTACCCCAACTGAAACAAAAGTAAAAAAGAGATAATAAAATTAGCTTGCTTGTATATATATCAAAAATTTGCTTATATATATGTACACAATCAATGTTAAATAATCTAATTTACAGAGTAGCTCTAAAATACCGAACCCATGTCTCCTGTGGAATGGGAATTTGGCAAATTATATAAAACATTTTATGACAGATAAATTATCATAAAGCGTTTTATGAAGTAATAAAAATGTCATGAAACATTTCTGGTGGTCGACTATGATGTTTGACTGCGCTATACAGTTCAATATGGGCTATTTTCAAGGCAGATCTTTTTCTGAATATTTTCCTGAATTTTTTTAATGAACTTTTCCAGTGAATGCAACATATTAGAAGCTCGGATATTGTTGAAAGCACTGAGGAATCTGGTAGGAAAATATCTCTAAAATGATGATACAAAGGATCCACAATGGGCATACTTAAAAAAAAGGCATTTTGTAACTCCTCTCCACCAACTGCTCTCTTTGCCCTGCATCTTAGCTGCTTCTTTTTTCTTACAGCATCTGATAATTAAACACATTTTAAAATAAATTTGTTAATGTTTTAAGGCTTCACAAAATTCTTTATTTTGACTACGAATGCTAGCATGACCATCTCTGAAGTGGAAAATGCAGTTGAAGTCTGGTTGGGCATCAGATTGCCTGTAGGTCTGAAAAATAGAACAATAATAGGTTATTTATAATGGAGCCATTTGTTAAAAGATTATGTAATGTGAAAAAACAATCAGATTAGTCCTTTTTTTCAGGTAATTTACATAGAGGTTTGCAGACAGAATAGATAAAGCAGCATGTGTTTCCAAATTATATCAAATTTCTCCTATGATTTTATGTAAAAATGCCCTACACCTCATTTTTCAGGACACCCAGTTCTGTAGCACTACTACCCAAATGCTAAAAGGTATCTGGAAGTGGGTCTGAAAATGTTTTAAAAAAAATCACTTTGTGTGCGCTGACCAGGTGGGAGAGAAATATTGCACAGCAGAATTTTGTATTCTGATCTTGGGGGTGGAACTTGGAGCTGCAAAATGCTGGCGGGAGTTTGCATGCAGCTTTCTGACTACATACGAGCATAAATATGAATATGTAAATACACTCCTTGTGGCCTACAGTGAAACTCGAAAAATTAGAATATCGTGCAAAAGTTCATTTATTTCAGTAATGCAACTTAAAAGGTGAAACTAATGTATAAGATAGACTCATTACATGCAAAGCGAGATAGTTCAAGCCTTGATTTGTCATACTTTTGATGATTATGGCTTATAGCTCATGAAAATCCCAAATTCACAATCTCAGAAAATTAGAATATTACATGAAATCAATAAAACAAGGATTGTACATAGAACAATAATGGACCTCTGAAAAGTATAAGCATGCATATGTACTCAGTACTTGGTTTGGGCCCCTTTTGCATCAATTACTGCCTCAATGCGGTGTGGCATGGATGCTATCAGCCTGTGGCACTGCTGAGGTGTTATGGAAGACCAGGATGCTTCAATAGCGGCCTTCAGCTCTTCTGCATTGTTCGGTCTCATGTCTCTCATCTTTCTCTTGGCAATGCCCCATAGGTCCCCTATGGGGTTTAGGTCAGGCGAGTTTGCTGGCCAATCAAGCACAGTAATCCCATGGTCATTGAATCAGGTTTTGGTACTTTTGGCAGTGTGGGCAGTCCTCCTGGAAAATGAAGTCAGCATCCCCATAAAGCTCGTCTGCGGAAGGAAGCATGAAGTGCTCCAAAATCTCCTGGTAGACGGCTGCATTGACCCTGGACTTAATGAAGCACAGTGGACCAACACCAGCAGATGACATGGCTCCCCAAATCAACACAGACTGTGGAAACTTCACACTGGACTTCAAGTATCTTGCAGTGTGTGCCTCTCCATTCTTCCTCCAGACTCTGGGTCCTTGGTTTCCAAATGAGATGCAAAAGTTGCTCTCATCAGAAAAGTGGACTTTGGACCACTGAGCAACAGACCAGTTCTTTTTGTCTTTAGCCCAGGTAAGATGCTTCTGACATTGTTTGTTGTTCAGGAGCGGCTTGACGAGGAATACGGCATTTGAAGCCCATGTCCAGGATCCGTCTGTGTGTGGTGGCTCTTGATGCACTGACTCCAGCCTCTGTCCACTCCTTGTGAAAGTCCCCAACACTTTTGAATGGCCTTTTCCTGACAATCCTCTCCAGGCTGCTGCTTGTGCACCTTTTTCTTCCACACTTTTCCCTTCCACATAACTTTCTATTAATGTGTTTTGATACAGCACTTTGGGAACATCCAACTTCTTTTGCAATTACCTTTTGAGGCTTTCCCTCCTTATGGAGGGTGTCAATGATGGTTTTCTGCACAACTGTCAGGTCAGCAATCTTTCCCATGATTGTGATTCCTACTGAACCAGACTGAGAGACCATTTAAAGGCTCAGGAACCCTTTGCAAGTGTTATGGCTTAATTAGCTGATTAGAGTGGGACACTTTGAGCCTAGAATATTGAACCTTTTCACAATAATCTAATTTTCTGAGATTGTGAATTTGGGGTTTTCATGAGCTGTAAGCCATAATCATCAAAAGTATGACAAATCAAGGCTTGAACTATCTCGCTTTGCATGTAATGAGTCTATCTCATATATTAGTTTCACCTTTTAAGTTGCATTACTGAAATAAATGAACTTTTGCACGAAATTCTAATTTTTCGAGTTTCACCTGTATGTTTTTCTAAAATATTAGAGTTCAAGTGTTGCTGCTTAGGCCAGTTATCTCTCTGAGGCAGTTGTCTAGAGAGTAGATCATCTAACCTATGTTAATAATTATTTTACAACCTGCTACTTAAATATGACACAGAAGCAGAAAGGAAAATAGTGATCATTAATCGACCGCCCCATTTCTTGATCATTTCTTGGGCTGCCCAGGATGGAATAATAGATTTCTAGTTGAAGCGGAGGGGGGGGGGGGGAAAGCCAGGTTCCCTAAATGCTATCAACCATTTTTACCTATTACAGGTAATCCTTGATTTATGACCACAATGGAGCTCAAAATTTCTGTTGCTAAGCAAGGCAGTTGTGATGTGAATTGTGCCGCTTTTTATGACTTTTTTTTGCCACAGTTGTTAAATGAATCACTGCAGCTGTTAAGTGAACCATGCAGTTAAGTGAATCTGGCTTCCCCCATTGATTTTGCTTGTTGGAAGCCAATGGATTACAAATAGGGATCACATGACCCTGGGACTGTACAGCTGTCATAAATACATGCCAGTTGACAGGCACCAAAATTTTGATCATGTGACCATGGGGATGCTGCAACAGTCGTAAATGTGGAAATCATAAATTACTTTTTTCAGTGCTGTTGTAACTTCAAACGGTCACTAAACAAATGGCTGTAAATTGAGGATTTACTTATAGTAGTCTGGAGTAACAGTGTAATGATATTTTCAGGATAATTTGCAATAGGGCCAAAATTCCTTTGGGTAAAAGCTTGTTTTGCTGACTTTTTCCAAAACTGGTTTTACAGCATACAAAAAACTTCTCCAAATTCTTGTAGTAGAGCTGGTTACAAACAAATAAATTAAGCAATGAAATTTCAAAGATGAAGTTTACCGTACAATATAATGATTATACATTTTGAGTTTGCAATAATTTGCATACTTATCTGGGAATAAATATTAACTGAATGTAAATTGACACGCATACAATGTTTTGTGAATACAGCGATCCAATTTCTTTTAGATGCTAATTCTTGTGCTATAGTGAGATTAACTGCTGCAACTATTTTTAAGCTGATTTGTGTAAGGGTTCAAATGTCAATTCTCTCCCGAAAGCGAGAAGCCCTGTTTGTGAAATGCCAGAATTGCTCTGAGTCCGCCCAGTATATAAAAATTTTAAAATAAAATGAAATGAAACTCTAAATAAAAAGGATCTTGACGATTAAAAGTCCAATATGCAGTAACCAAAGTTGATTACATTAAATTAGACAAATCAAGGTATGAGTTAAAATAAAATTTTGTATGATTAATGTTCAATAGATAAAAACCATCTTGGATGAAATTTTTTAAGAAGGAAACAAGTCTTTCTATGGTATTTTTAGTTAACTGATAATTTTTTAAGGAATTTTGAAATATTTTGGTGCACCTTAAGTCATTCTGTTATGTCACAAACTCTGCAACAAATATTAACAAACCGGAATATTCTGCCATATTATCCTTCAGTATTTCAGAACTTCAGAATTTCCATCCCAAGTTTGGGACTGAATCTTCTCAAGCACTTACGAAGGTGGCCCTTGAGGACTAGCAAGATGGCAAGTCTCATTAGTTTAATATAGACTTTTTAAATTGTAAAGGTGATTAGATGGGAAGAACAGTACCATGACTTTGCCCTCTAGCTTCAGAAATTTAATTCACTGCTTTTATCTCATGAATGTGAAACGTATTATTACATTTTGTGGTTCCAGTTCTCGTGAATAAATATTTGATTCAAAGCAGGATAGGATGCTTGAGAGGGTGAGCTCCAGAAGAGTATACTTTGCACTTCATAAAGGTAAAGATTCCCCTCGCACATATGTGCTAGTCGTTCCCGACTCTAGGGGGTGGTGCTCATCTCCATTTCAAAGCCGAAGAGCCAGCGCTGTCTGAACATGTCTCCATGGTCATGTGGCCAGCATGACTAAACGCCAAAGGCACATGGAACACTGTTACCTTCCCACCAAAGATGGTCCCTATTTTTCTACTTGCATTTTTTATGTGTTTTCAAACTACTAGGTTGGCAGAAGCTGGGAGAAGTAACGGGAGCTCACCCTATTACGTGGCACTAGGGATTCGAACCGCTGAACTGCCAACCTTTCGATCAACAAGCTCAGCATCTCTTAGCCACTGAACCACTGCGTCCCTTGCACTTCATAGCAGTTGTCAATGATGTTCAGATTCATTTCAGTTTTTGCAAAGGCTTTTAAAGCTCTTCAAACTTTTAGCTTTGGGTATCACAGAAGCTGCTTTTGTTTGCCTTGTATAAATCCATTGTTAAGATCTTGGGGATTGATTTAATTCTGTTTTGGCTCATAGGCATACTTTTCTCCCATAACTAGGTCCTCTGGAACTCAGAAATATGTCAAGGCCATCTATCACAGTGCTGTTTCCTCTTATTAAAATCCATCTTGCATTTTCACCACTGTTTCCTTTTTTGTTGTTGTTGCTTGCTGGCTTAGTATATTTCATATTTTGTACTCATTACTCTTTGGGGATCTGGCGAGGATGGTAGAGGACAGGAAGGCCTGGAGGAACATTGTCCATGGGTCGCGATGGATCAGACACGACTTTGCAACTAATAACAACAACAACTCCTCTTTGGGGAGGACTTTCATACTGTAGCAGAGTAGTGGAATAATTTTGTATTTTAAAAATACTTTGGTAATTTTAGAAAACCAAATTCAGTTGAAATCTTTTGTGATTCGATGCAAAACCAGTTTCTGCTTATTTAATTATGTAAGATTTATATCACTCCTTTCTTCGTGAATTCAAGGCAGTATATCTAGCTTTTCTTTAGCCACAAAACCAGAATAAATTAAGCTTTCTGTTCTGCTTCTCCAGACTATGTGGTACCCTCCATTTTTATTGCACTTCAAGTTTTATAATCCACAGTTAAAATGACCAATAATTACAGACTTTATGAAGTGTAATCTAAAACACTTGGAGAATGTAAAGTGGTTTGCTCCTGTTGTACTTCTTTGGTGTTGAGACCTCTTGAAGAACAGTAATTCAAATTAAGTATCTGTGTAAAGGAAGTACAAGAGGCAAACTACTTGTTGTATCTCTGATTAATGAGGCCCTGTTCCAGTGTCAGCTCCTCCTATTAAAACAATTGAACAAGTAGTTGAACTAGGTTTTTAGGCTAAGGGTTATTCTCAATTTTTTGTTGCCTTACCAGGAGCTGCATTGCCAAAGAAGTAGGACCAGAGAAAAGAAGTAGTGAGTGTGACCAGAATAAAATACTAAATTTAAATTTAATTAAACTTTAATCAAGATCATCTAACATGGTTATTTAATTATTTTCTTGCTGTGCCATTTTTAAAAGAGATTTTAGTTGCAACTCTGGGAGAAATTCTGTGTATTGTACCAAAAACTGTGGACTCCATATGTTATCCGAACATGTATGTGACAGTGCTTAACCAACTTTAGCTGATCTCAAAAAGTTAAGCAGGTTCAAACTTGGATATTACTAGAACGGAAGACCACCAGGCCATGGTATGCATTCCAGGTGTAAAAGAAAGCTAACTCTGGTCCTGAATTTATGATACTTTACTTTTCATCTTAACCTGTCATTTTTTAATTTTTATTACTGGCACAGAAAGGCGTGCTTTCGCAAAAGAGCTTAGATTTGCAAGAGCCACTGCTGTCTTCATAAAGCTGCTTGTATTATTGAGTGAATTGAACAAGTTGCTGATGAAAAAGTTCTCGTAGATTTGCAGAAAGCTTAAATGGATGGAGCAATGTCTCTGAGTTATTCAGAAACTGCAATATTTCAAGGAGGAAGTTGATATTGGCACATGAAACACTTTGTTTACATTCCACAACTTCTCCTTTGAAGGATTTTATGAGCATCGATCACATCTTAGTAAACTGTAGGAGAGATTGTAGTTGTGGTGGCATGCAGGTGTCCATCCATCTACCCATCTAGCCGTCTACCCATCTACCTACCTACCTACATTACTGACCAACCGACGTACCTACCTACCTATCTACCGTGTTTCACTGAAAATAAGATCCTGTCTTATATTTTTTTGAACCTTGAAATAAGCACTTGGCCTTATTTTCGGGGAGGTTTTATTAATCTGGGGTGCATGATGGGGTTCCTCTTGCTTTCTTACCTGATTTCCAGCTCTGTCTCCCTAACCTAACCAGAGAAAATGGCAGGGACCGGCTCTGCATTCATTTAAATATTTTCAGGGAGGGCTTATTTTCAGGGGATGTCTTATTTTTGGGGAAACGGTATCTACCTACCTACCTAGTACCCACCTACCTGCATTCAGAATCTTTGAAAAAAATACGCTGAGCCATCTGCTTGAATGTTTCCCCCTTACCAATATTTCATTGAAATTTGTTTCTAGCTTTATGTTAGTTATACTACTAGAATCAAAATTCTAGTAGTATGTAGTATAATGCTACAGTATGTGCATCTTTGAGTTTAGCTTTTTACTCATTTGTCCCCAAAGTTACTAGCCCTGTTTTTGGAGTATCAAAAGATTCTAGTGTTTTTGTTATCTGGAATTATCTTCCAGTTAGCTTTTGGATGACTTGATGAGTTGAACTCTGCCCATTATTTCCATTTTGTATAAGGGCTTGTTTCTTCTTTCCATCCAAAAAGTAAGAACTGCAGGGTGTGCTCACCAGCTTACTTAGTTTGAGTGATAATATGACGAGGGAAAATTGATATCAGTCTTCTTCCCTCCCCACTGTGGTTATCCTCTTTGCAGGCAAATGATGCTAGACTTCCTTACATCGCTTAATTAACCAGGCAGTTCTGATCCATTCCTTTGGCACCATCTGTTCGCTAAAGAATGCTGAGAAGAAGGTGAAGGAAATGGTACATGATTATATAATAATGGTTGTCATTGAACAAATGATGCTTAATTGGTCATTTGTGATTGTTTAGTCAAAACATTTCTTAAAAACACACACACAGACAATAATTGTGATTTAAAATTTGCGAACCTTTTTGAAATTTCAATATTTCTGCATAAATATGACCTAAAATGTGATTTGTTCTCTACACAAATCCTAAAGCAAGATAAAGAGAATTTAAAAAAAAAGATTCCAAAACATTACATCTGTCAATTTTTTATTAAGAAAAATGTGTGGCAAAAGTACATGAATTTTAACCACCACTGTCTTGTAGGTGGGTTTGTGTGTGTGTGTCTCTCTGTGCATGTATGTAACACCCATCAGTAATGTGAACGAAACCAAATGTTCATCAGAGAATCAGCTTACTATCGGAGTGACTAGGACTCATTTGTTATTAGCTTTTACAAATAATCTTATTAAGGATTTAGTCAAGTGTAAAATCTTTCTATGCACTTGAAAAGTGCATTGATGTATACATACAGATGTATTGTAACAAAGATACAATCTATAGGTGGTTCTCAAGTTACAATAGTTCATTTAGTGACCATTCAAAGTTACAACAGCACTGAAAAAAGTGACATGACCATTTTTCGCAGTTGTGACCTTTGAAGCATCCTCATGATCATGTGATCAAAATTCAGATTCTTGACAACTGGTTCATATTTACGTATTTCATTGTTGTGTCCCAAGATCATGTGATCCTCTTTTGCAACTTAGGTTACTAACTCAGCAACTGCAGTGATTCACTTAACAACTGTGACAAGAAATATCGTAAAATGGGACAAGGCTCACTTAACAACAAAAATGTTGGGCTCAATTGTGGTCATAAGTCGAGGACTACCTGTATAAGGAACTGCAGCAGCTGATTTCTTCACAGTAAAATACCTTAATCCTTGATCATTTCAGCAAGGGGACATAGCCAGTCCTAACTCCATTATCCTTTTTTGATAGAGGATTTTTGAAAATTATATGGTCCCATATTTTTAGGTGTTTACTTACAGTACATAATGAAAAATGTAAGTCCATGAGTGGTACCTTTTTTTGGATAAATAGATATCCAACTAAAAATATTAATTATGTCATTAATATTAATCATCTTTTATATATCTGTATATCCAGTGACTTTGCTGAAATGCAGAACTGGAAGATCTATGAAATCTTGTAGACAAATAGTTACTTTCATTTAAAAAGGATAATAATTCTGAAGGCTATTTGAGTATACTTTGGCTACTGCTTGGTTGCAGTTCATTCTGTAGATTTGGGCTTTATTTTGACAGAATTAAGGAAACATTGAAAAGTCCTCTCAAGATACTTCTTTACTTCCTTGGCCTTGGATCTTGATTGTGAAATTTTGGTCAAAAGGCTTACTACGCACACAGGAGCTGGAGAGGTGATAGAATGCACACAATATTTGCAAGAAAACCCCTCCCTGCCTTTCAAAACTGGGATTGACAAACTGGAGCTAAGCTGTAAGTTAAAGCTAGTTCCTAAACTTGTTCAGAAACAGTCTTCATATAGAGGAAAAAGTGAGCAGCCCTTTCTAGGGGCCTCCCATTTATTACTGACTCTCATTATTAGTTAATAGTTTTATTAGCCCTTGAGCATCTCTTTTAAACCATTTCAAGCAATTACGGTCAAGTGCTATGCTGTTGTTTGCTCATTTTGGTTTTAAAGATCGTTTTGCATAGAGCTGAACTGGTGTTTGTCTTTTTCTTGGGAAAACATATGGAATATAAATGTGAGAGCATATTTTGTCAGCATAAATAAATTATTTAACTTGGTACAAGAAACATATTTAGACCTTTAAATACTGGGAAAAACTAGCATTGTATAGATCTTGGGAGATGTTTTACTGAATGTGCTATTTTAAATAACAAAATAACTGGCTTTTTGATATCAAAGTTAGGTCAAAATCTACTTGATTTTAAGCTGACGAAAGTTTAATAGAAAAACATTAGTCTTCTCATTTCTGTCACCCTGTGGTGGTAAGAAGAATGGCATCAGTTTTACTTAGCAATATTTAATTCAGACTAAATTGTAGCCACTGATTTCTAGCTAAAATTAACTATTTTCATGTTAAAAACGAATAGCTCATCTAATATTTGTCTATTAATAAATACTGTTGAATTTCCTTCAATGTATTCTAAGTAGCTGTTGATTTTCAGACTTGTTTTTCTATTTTTTCAGGTCTCTGGATGGCAGACACTGAAAAGAAATGCTGTTTTAAGAGGTATGCTTAGAGAAAAATAATACTTTTCCCTCAGTATGTGAAGAGATTTTTTTCTGATTGAATTCTACAACCTCCTTCAATATATATAAAAGTATCTAGAAGGTGATTTTTTTTTAAAAAAACTAAGTGTTCTGAAAACTGAAAACCTTTTTGAGGTTTAGTTATAGCTTAAAGAGTGTTTTCTTTAGGGAATGTCTATTTTTGATATATACAGGAAATATTGCTATGGTTTCACCTAATATGGCTACAATATTTCTAATGTGAACATCCTGTTTTTTCCCCAGGCCAGGTATAAGCTGTTTTTATATTGGCTTCCAAGTGCTACAGTGTGATAGCTGTGTTGAAACTAAAAAGGAATAATTTCATTGTTTTAATCATAATATTTGATGTGTGAAAATGTTTCAGTTGGAACTCCTAAAACCTATTTAAATGTAAATCACAGAAAAATATTTGAATTTTCCCATATCACTTATCCTGCTAATAGGAATTAGGGAATTCCTGTTAGTGGCAAGTGCTCTTTCATGCTACTAATTTTGACATGTCGCACAAAGTTTAACAAGCAAGCAAGCTTTTTAGTAGTTACATTAGTCATCGGAGGAACAATATTCAAAATAATATAATTGTTAACAAGAAATACTTGATAAATCTATGGAGAAAGTGAAACACCTAATGTATGGGAAAACTGCTTCACTTCCCATACAGATCAAGTGAAAAGTTCAGCTGCATTCAATGTAGACATACCTCTGAAAGGAGCCTTCTGCAGAAACTGTTGAAAAGGAAGTTCATCCAAGCTACTAGTCACACAAAGTGACTCATAAAGCAATGGGGTATACAGTCAACTCTGTGGGTGGGCATTCAGCTTGCAGAACCTTTCAAAATAAAATGCATGTTCTTTCCTATAGCTATAATTTGGGAATTAATGAACCAACAATTGGTCACTAATATTTTAGAAATAGTACTTTGATAACTGCATTTACACAAATATGCAAACCACACAGACTTGTAAAATAATTGCTGCTGTCTCATGTTCATGCTAGCATCGTGTAAAATATCCATCTTTACACAGTTGGTGAAACATGGAAAAGAAGTGGAGTCTTCCCCATGATTTAGAAATAAAAGAGGGAAGTTACTAGAGTTTTATCCAAAACTATGCAAATCAATACAATGTTGTAGGTACAATATATATATATATATATATAACACTTCTTTGCTTCAGTTGTGAAATTAGGTCAAATGCAAGGTTTTAAATATATATTTATTGTGTAACAAGGCAAAAATAAGGAAATGAACAAAATGGTTCTGTTGACTGACTTTCTCTGAAAGCAAGCACTGCAATTTTACGCTATTTTGGGGGGGGGGATAACAACAACTATTGCTGATAAATTGAAAAATAACTTTAAAAAATTGCCATTGTAAGGAACAAAGAGTATCTCGGGACTAAGCCAGGTACAACTTGGGAGAACTACAATTCAGCTTCCCTCTCCTCTTTTCCATGCATGTTCTTGAATGCTGTATCTTCAGTTTGATCAGGATGGGATGTGACTGCTATTGGAAATGGGTATATATAGGACTTCCGGTTTGCTGTTCGTCGCTGCCAGACATTCCTTTGGGATCGTCAGCTTCCACTGCCTGTCAGAGCCGCCTTCACAACGGAATGGCGGCTCGAAAAAACTCCGTTTCCATGAGGAAACGGAGATAGAGCCGGCAGGGGTGGGTAGAACTCTCTGCGGAGTCCCAAAAGTTTTTTTTTTACTTTTGGGACGGAGCGGATGAGATGCCCCGTATCCCCAGCCGCTGCTCCGGGCTTTGGGAGACCTCTGCTAATGCAGAGCCAGGCGTCAAAAGCAAGCCTGCAAATTTAACAGACTACTCAAAGAAAATGTGAGCTGGACCTGTAATACTGAACCGCAAGTATTTTACTGATTTTTTAAAAAATTACTTAAGAGAGAGGAGGAAAAGAAAGAGGAAAAAAAGCCTTTTAAAATGGCGTCGGCTGGAGGAGAGGCTGAAAGGGAAAGTCCTTCCGTTTTCTATTACTACAATGTAGCGGAATAAATACCACTGGCTACATTTGTAGACAAAACTTCGCTCCTGTGTCTTTTTCTCTTTTTTTCCCTTGGAGACTTGATATTGTTGTTGATTGGAAAGAAGTCTTTTTTTTTTCTTGCTTTTTTTTTAATAAAGCCTGCCTGGGCGGAAACATGGCACTGAGATTCACAAAGTCAGATAAACAAGAAGGGGGGGGGGATTCCCCCACCAACAATTTAAAGGAACAAGTCTTAACTCTTCAGTCTCAGAAACCTGATTTTAATATAATAGAATTTTTCTTAGAGGAGATTGAAAGAAGGGAGGAGATTGTGAATCAGCAACTTGAAAAATTTAAGCAGGAAATTAAAGAATTGGTGAAATCTAAGTTTGATTTTTTGGAGAAAAAACTCTCAAAAGTGGCTAATGGTTTTTCAGAATTTATGATACAGTTGGACACAAATACTAATTTACTAGAGTCTAAAATAGAAGAAATTCAAGATAAATTGGACAATAGAACTCAAAAAATTGAAAATGATTTGACAAACACTCAGGATAATAGCTTAGAAGAAAAACCTAAAATGGATGCTGATCAAAAGTCTGGTAATGCAGAAAATCTGCAACAGAAGATTGAAAAAGAGATTTTAATGGTACAATATAATTTCACAGAATATGCGATAAGATTAAGAGGTTTGCAGGAAAATAATAGAGATGATTTAAGGAAAATATCTTCTGAAATTCTAGCTGGGATTCTAAAGGTTCAACCTGAGGAAGTGTTTTGTAGGATTGACAGAGTTTATCGAATAAACTCCTGGATTGCCAAGCAAAGGCAATTGCCTAGAGATGTGGTGATTTATTTTACAGATAAAGAAATTAGGAATAATATCGTGCAAAATTCCTTCAATTCTAATTTGCAATTGTATGGAAGAAAGATTTGGATTTACAAGGAACTCCCACCTAAGATATTGATTGAAAGGAAGAAATTTGGTTTTCTGGTGAATGAGTTAAAAAAGAGAAATATCTCATTTAGGTGGGACGCCCCAGTTGGTATTATATTCAGATATCAAGGAGAAAGATATCAGCTAAATACTGTTGAAAGAGCGGAAGAATTTTATCAAAATAGGTTGAAAATGAACTTAACATCTTCAGGTATAATACAGGATAAGCAGAAGGAGCCGGAAATAAAGGTAAAATATCGAATTACAGAGACTGTATCAGATGAATTGCCTTTGGATTTATTGGATACCCCAGCTGGACTATCTACAAATTTGAGAGAAGTGGCATCTAACCTTAATGTGATGACTTATCAAGGCAAGGATAAGCATGGAAACCAATTAGGGGATATACAAGGGATAAAAAAGAAACATGGGATACAAAAACAAAACCAACAAGACCAATCTACAAAGCAGAATGAAAACCGACCAGATGATACACAATTTGTAGAAAGGAAACCAGGATGGAAACCAAACCCACAAAAAGAAAAGAAAAAAAGAAAAAGGTTGCATAAAAATAGAAATTTCTAAATCAGGCAACAGTGAAGCCAGTGACTTTAAAATATGAATGGTTATGTGTAAACATAGAAGAGGCGATGTATTGGTTAATATCATCCTGAGGATTGTGGCAGATCTCTGCATGGCCGTAATCTGGGGACGTGAAAAGAGCCTTAAACTGATGGATTTGAATTATCCACTTTGGAATTTCTTTTTATGTTGATAAACATATTATAATTATCTTGAATCACAAGGCAAGAGAATTATGCTGGGGCATGCAGAAGATCGGGTTGTTACCCACTACGATGATGGGAATTAATAATCCTGATGAAACCCACAATTATTACTATATGGAATATAATTATAATGTCACTCGGGTGGTTGTTTTTACCTTTATACATATAAGAAGATATTTACTACTGATGGGGGCAGATATGATTGAAGATCCTGAATAAACTGTTGCACCAGCAAGCTATGTTACCTGATTATGGATGTTGGTTCTACCAATCTAGTGGAAAGACCTCAAAGAAGATATTATATGGATTATAAATTTAAAGTCATTGTCTTTTCTTTTTTTTTTATTTAGATATAATGGAAAATATAGACATATATTTTTAAGTAGTGTGGGCAGTGAATCAAAGATATTAAGAAATGTTGTGTATGGTAATTTTGCATGATAGTGGGTGAATAAGCTAGTTAGTAGATTGATTAGTCTAAGAAAAGGGATTTTTAAGTGATATATTTAGGGGAGTGGAGGAAATGGATAGAGTGGAATAAATGTTAAACTAGATTTTATGGGGAAGGCCGCTTTGAAATGTTATAGTAATATATATAGAAGATTAAATGTTAAAGTAGGACTTATCGTATAGTTTTAAAGTGGAGAAGTTATTCTATAATGTTATAGTATAATGTTTTTTTTTTCTTTCTTTTCTCTTTTCTGAAATGTATGGATAAAGGGGGATGTTATAATATTAATAATATTTTTAGTAAGTAATGGTCAATATTTAGAGGAGGGAGTAAGTAATCTGTTATGAATTAGGTTTTTTTTTGTTATGAAGAAGTCACAGGGGGGGATGGGTGGGGAGGGGGGGTTAGGGAGGGGGAGGGAGAGGGGGAAAAAAAGGGGGAAAAATTTGTATTTGAAAACTTTTTCAATAAAAAAAAAAAAGGAAATGGGTATATATATATCACCTGTAATATCAGTCAAGTAGAATTCTTTCAGTGTCATAGGGAACATGAACAATGTTGTGCTCATATTCTGCTGGTCAGTTTCCTGTTGGCATTTGATTGGCCACCATGGAAACAGAATGCTGGACTCAATAGCTCTTTGGTATGAGCCAGCATAATCTTCTTTGTGCATCTGTGTTGGTATCATTAATAATTTGATATATAATATGTCCATACACATGCATACTTGTTTCATAGTTGCATTTTCAGATGTTAATGAACTTTCAAATATAATATTTTCCTGGTGCTATTTCTCAGTGAAAATTGTTTTCCCACTTGCTCAATAGAAGATGCAGTTTTTCACAGACACAGTATTCGAGAGGGTTTAGTTTTTAAGATACCAAAGAAGTCAGCAACAGACTAGGATAAGGATTGGAAATTGTAAATTCTCTGACAGTTGAATTAGTAAATACTGTATTCCTGATTGCAGATTGATCTCATTACAATTGCTAGTCCAAACTCAATTCATGCCTTGCTTTTCCTGAAGCAACTGAATTTTCTATTTTCATAGATTAGGTAGGATTAAGTTATGTTTTTTGAGGATTAGATTAACTTGTTCAGTTTTTACCTCTGGGCATTGGATATCTCAGATTCATGGTACACTGTTTACTTATTGTGGACTTTGGAAAATATCTTTCATTGTCTTTTGGATTAAGTAGATGGCTTGCATCTTTGTTTACTTGCTTGCACAATGGGTAATTAATTGGTAACATTAGCTGGTGAGGGAATGATAATGGTTAAATCTTGTTATATAAACATTTAGCTGATCCTAGAGAAAAGAAGATAAGCAAATAAAAGAGGCTTTTTTGTTAGCTATTATATTTATATTCTATCAGATATATGAAAAGCACCTATGATTACCACATCACAATTTTGTGTGAATTCCTCAGGTCTTGAGATATGCAGAATGCCTTGAGAATTTTAATATAAAAATATTTTGCTTGATGGGTGTACATTTTATTTAAAACAAATTAGCATTTTGAAGAAATCCTCTGAAGGGAGAATGGAAAAGGAATGTGAATCACTTGAAGATTTTGCATTTTTTCTACTCAAACTTGGTTCTTGGTTCTCGCTACTTCTAAATCATTTCATATATATTTGATAAAAAAGACGGTATGATGTAAATATATGCAGTGCTTTCCCCAAAGGGGACGCTAGCAATTGGGCCCTTCTATCCCTTTTCCCAGGTGACCAGCCCACCTGGCCCAGGCACACCAACACATCTTGGAGAGAATTATGGGCGTTAATTAAAATAATGGCTGTTAAGAGAAAAACAAATTAAACAGCAACTACAGGTAACAACAAGCTCCAGTGCAATAAACAAACAATAACCCAGCAAGCAGATTAAAATAGTGGTCCTTAAAATAAAATAAAATTAAGCAACAACTACAGATAATGGCAACAAGCATCAATGCAATAGACACACAACAACACAACTAATACATTAAAACGGTGGCTCTCAAGATAAAATAAGATTAAACAGCACAGTAGTATAAAATGTTAAACCTTATGGTGAGCAACAATTGTCCCAGTGCCTCCGATGTGGCTCAGCAATGGCCAGCATAAAGGCTCAAGCTTCCATTAGAGGATTTAGTTAAAACACGCAAATAGTTCCCAAAGACTGTCCTTTGGACAAATGGTTCCTCGCCGATCTTGTTGTCTTGCAGACTTGTCCTCTATAAGCCAGGGAGAGGCTTATGGGGTCCACTTCTTCCAGCAAGGGACAATGGCTCAGGAGCTCCATTGAACCAAAAATGCAGCTCTTCTGGAACCATGCTTTGGATAAGAATACCACCCAGGGGTGAAATCCAGCAGATTCTGACAGATTCTAGAGAACCGGTAGCAGAAATTTTGACTAGTTCCCAGAACTGGTAAATACCACCTCTAGCTGGTCCAGAGTGGGATGGGAATGGAGATTTTGCAATATACTTCCCCCAGGAGTGGGGAGGGAATGGGGATTTTGCAGTATCCTTCCCCTGGAGTGGGGTAGGAATAGAGATTTTGCAGTATCTTTCCCCTGCCATGCCCACCAAGCCACGACCATAGAACCGGTAGTAAAAAAAATTGAATTTTACCACTGATGCCACCCCTCTCATGGCAGCTAGGATACAGTCTCCAAGATATAACAGTCGCTCTTCCTTGGGGTGGCAATTCTCTCTCATTCCAAAGAAGTTCAGTCTCCTTCCCCATAGTAGTATTCCTTTTTTTTGTTCCCTCTCAGTCCTTTTAAAACTGCCACCCCTCCTTTTCTCTCTCTGAGCTGCTGGAATCTGTAGTCCCCTCTCCAGCACTCTAATTTAATTCCCTCTGCTGGGGACTACTTTTCCCATATATCTCCCCCAGGGTCCCTCCCTGTCCTAATTCCAGGGGTAAGGCTCCAACCAGCCAGCCAACTAGGGAAAGCTGGCTGGCTGCACATCTTCAGCTCAGAGAAAGATAAGGATGGGAGGGTGGGAAAGCTGCAAGTTTGTTTTAGTGACACAAAATGAAAGAAGGGAAAAAAAGCTGCTAATCGAGCCGACTACATATCATGTGAAAAAACCCTGGTTTTTAGGGATGCTGATTTTAAGGTCATAAACATTGACTGTCTTAATTACAATCATCTTATAAGGCTAAATTGCAAAAATTTACAATTTTTCAGCCAAAATGTCTCAGCAATTTTTATTGAAAACATCTTAGTTTGGTGATACCTGCTGTGTAAAAACTCATTGCAGCATATGGTAAAAATACTTTCCTCCTGTCTTTATTATTTAGTACTCTTATTTCGTTTCCTCTGGTGCACTGGTTTCCCCATTGGGAAAATAAAAGCAGATGTTTTTATGTTATTTCTGATAAATGTGAAGGTCTTTATAAACATTTATTTAGGAATTTCTAAATTACCTTTTTATCCAAAAGAGTCCCAGGGTAACTAATGATTTCAAATTTTAAAGCTATTTATAGATTTTTAAATAACAAACAGTAAAATCACAGGTAGGAAAGGAGATAGTTAAAATCATACAGATCAATATATTTAAAACTAAAGAAGTAGAGGGTTCCATAGTTAGGGTGCAGCATCTGATTTTTTAGGGTGCAGCATTTATTTTTTAATTGTCTACCTGGTGAAGACTTTCCCAAATAATGTTGGAAAACCAAAAAAAACCAAATCCAAAAACTTTTCCAATACTTTCCTGGAAATTTTTAATGCTACATAAAGACATACAGTAATTTCTTTTTCAGAAACCAAATTCTATTAAAATGTTTTCTGGAAGGAAAAATGAAAAAAGCTATGATTTATAAAGTTCAAACATAATGCGCTTATTTTTCAATTTATGAAAACTACTTTAAGTTATTTCTCTATAGTTTAAAAGTGGGGAGTTAACTCCTAAACATATTTAAGCAAGAAACTTTGTTTTCCCCAAATGCTGTACAATTTATCTTATATGTACATTCTTCTAAAAATTAATCATCTGAAAAAATATGTTGACTAGAGTTGGCTTTTTCTTACACTACTGATACGATTCAGAAAAGTATAGATTTTTTTAAGGAGCTAAGTATTTTCTGGAAGACTTTCCAGAATATGGATTACAGATAAAACTGGTGCATTCACTTATGTTTCTGAAAAGTAGGCTGATTTAAAATTTGTGGTGTGGAATGCTGTAAATCTTGCAGTGTAAAGGCCAGAACAACAGTTGCTGCGTTATCTTTAGCTTTATGGTTGTACATTATTCTTAAACAACTCTTATTTTTTTCCAAATAAGGTGTTTTGGAGAAGAAAACTGTTTCGATCATTTTCATTTTTTCCTGCATTCAAGGCTTATTATGAAGGTCAGATATTTTAAAAGAAGTAGACATTTATATCTCAAATACCTGCCTATCCTGGTTTTCTTACAGACACCAAAGATGCTGACAAGAAAAATTAAACTTTGGGACATCAATGCCCATATAACCTGCCGCCTTTGCAATGGTTATCTTATCGATGCTACCACTGTAACGGAATGCTTGCATACCTGTGAGTATGATTATTACCGTGTATTGTGAATTAAGATTTACTTTCATGTAAAGATAATCATTTGGGATTTAGTTTTGATTTTTATTTGAAAGGCTAATGCTTAAAAGACCTTAATTTCAAAAGATTTATTCATATGTGAATCTCTCTTTAAATGCATGCCTCGGCTCTTACCAAGAAATTCAGAGAACTTTGAATTACAGTAGTTGGCACAATTAGATATATCTACTTACTTGCTTGCTTGCTTACTTACTGAGATGGGTAGAGTATGTATCTTATTCATTTACCACTTCTATTCTACCTGTTTCTGTATGGAATAGAAATTGTCCGAATCTTCATTATTTTTAAAATTCCCACACTTGGTTTGCCTAAAAGGTGTCCACTCTCAGCTCTGTTTTGATTCACCTTGCAATAAAGTTAGTGAACCAACAAATGGGGCAACCAATGTGAGCCAGTTGTGCAATTCTATTAATACCTGAAAAGGTTTTCCCTTAATTAATCCCATAATATTGGGATGTTGTGTAATTCTCTGAGAAGCAAATAAATGAAGGCTGATTATATAAGGAATGGGGAAGAACAGTTCTGCTCTTGCAGAAGAAACTGAGGCACCTTATTATCTTTCCAGAGACCAGAACATAGCAGTAAAAATCCTCTGCTCTGAACTGAGGTGTTAAGACCTCTTACTTATTCATTTAGGAGAGGATGTAAATATGTGACATCATATAATGTTCTGAACTTTTTTTTATACTTAAAACAGAAGGTAATGGCTCCTTCAGGTACATACCTAGGAATGCTGAAAAGGGAGCTTTTACTAAAGAGCATGATGTAAAGGTTATGATGCTCTTTTGCTGAAAGTCATAATATATTTCTAATTGTTGCTGCAAAGGCATCATGTTTCCCCCCCTCTTTTTCCCCTTTGAACTGAATGAGCAGATCTGTAGCTAATACAATGAAGAGAATTTTGCTGACAGTACATTAAAGGATATTAGAAATAACAAATAAATTGATTTAGTTAAAACAATGTTTGCCATATTGTTATATAGCAGTGATGGCTAACCTTTTTGCAGTTGCGTTCCAAAAGTGAGGGGAGCGCGGGGGGGCGCATGTGCACATGCTCACACCCATAATTCAATGCCCCCATGCCCCGCCCCCCCATGCATTCGCACGCGACCCCCACGTGATCCCCACTTTTGGCAAGCGATGGCAAAAAGATTACCGGTGGGCCCGGTAGGCCCATTTTTTGCCCTTCACAGGCTTCTTGGAGCCTGGGGAGGGTGAAAACAGCCCCCCCATCCCCCTGGAGGTCCTCTGGAGGCTGAAAATGCCCTCCCAGAGCCTCCGCGCAAGCCCTGTATTTACCTGGCATCCAAAATGAGCCATGTGGAGACTCCTGGAAGGGGAGGGGCAGCGTGGGCGGGCCAGCTGAAAATCACGCATGCAGCTGAGCTAGGGCAATGGCTCATGTGCCCACAGATATGGCTCCGCGTGCCACAGGTTCGCCATTCCGGTTATATAGGAGTTGGTAGACCCAGTTACGGCTTTGTTTAACAAGATGACGGGATCTAATTTGAATGCTAGAGTGTCTTACAAAACTGACAGCTTGCAGGGTAGCTAATGAGAATTATGTAATGTGTAATTATGGTCAAAAAGCTGAGAGGCTTGTGATAAACTTCTTTAGCTCAGGTATAGCTGCACTGCATTTAATCACCTACCATTCCTAAGTTCAAATCTTTCTTTGCTTTTTTTAGTTTTTACTTTTTGTATTGGGGATTTTATGAATATGATGGCATATTAAAGACCCTCCTTTTTTGTGAACAGAAAGAATGGATCAAATAAAATGAATCTTCATAGAACTTGCCATTATTCGGTGCTTCCAAAACTAAGAACTTCCTTCCAGTGACTTCTCTTTTGCCTCCTCGAGTGCACACCTAATTATTTAGAAAATGTGTATGTCAGCCCAACTCATTTGTGGTGTCTCCAGGTGGCTTATAGAAATAAAACCCCAGTACAAAAACCAATAAATCTCCCACCCCCCAGGCAACAACAATAAAATCAACTACTTGATGGGCTCCATATCACACTGGGGATTCCTAAACCTGCTAGCAAAACCATGTCTTTAGGGCCTTGAGAAGGAGTGTTAAGATTGGGGGCCCAATCTTATTTTTGCAGGGATGATGTTCCACAGAGGAGGGAGCTACCATGGAGAAGGGCCTTCTTCTTGGTCCCAGTAGATAGACTTCCTTAGGAGAGGGAGCCCTTAGCATTCCCTGCCTCCCCTCTCTGGTGGGTTGGGTAGATGGAACTACAAAAGATGGTCCTTCAAAATAACCTGGCCCCTTGTAGGGCTTTAAAAGTGATAATCAGCCTCTTGAATTGGACCTGGAAGCAAATCACCAGAAAGTCAAGCTCCCGAAGGAGGGGTGACACATGTGCAACTCTATAATAAATAATGTGGGCCATTGCATTTTGAGCCAGTTGAAGCTTCTTCTTTTTTAAAAAAAAATTTTTTAAATTATAAACTGAAGACAAAAAAAAGAACAAAAAGAAGACGATAACAAAACAAAATCACTTACATACAGCTAGAGTTGATTCAGCCCCCATATACATACAGTTCCTAAGTAACATTACATACCATCATACTACATCTTCAATTAAATTTTCCACATTGCACCTTACACTTGTTAATCTTCTTACATCTAATATTACCTTATATATATTTAGCTTAGTATCAACAAATCTATGCTATATGCTTTCCTAACATCTACCTCATGGCATTTTTACTTCTATCCATTTGTACCGTTTATCCCAGCTTTGATTAAAAGTTTATTCTTGTCTATCTTTAAGAGTATATGTTAATCTATCACATTCTTCACACCTCAAATTTTTTTTAATAATCATCTGGTCCAATGGTACTTCTTTCCCTTTCCAAAATTGCGCATATGCAATTCTAGCCGCAGTGGTAATATGTATAAAAAGGTACCAGTCTAGTTTCCTTATACCCCCAGGATTTATTCCTAATAAGTAGACCTCTGGTCTCAGTTGAAAGCTAACTCCTGTGATCTCCATGAGCCAATCCTTTATCTTACTTGCCCAAATGTGTTAACAACACACATTCTTCGGGGAGGCTTCGAAGGAGTAGGAATAGGAAGGAGCAGGAATAGGAATAGGTTCCGTCACATGATTGTGGCCCCAGGCTTGGGCACAAAACCAGATTTTCAAGGTCTTCTGGAAGGCCAGTATATAAGTGTGTGGATTTACCCTCTTCCTTTCTGAGTTTCCCTCTGAAGGGAATCTCTTCTCTGTTCTGTAAACATTATCCCAAGTTTGCTCATGTATCTGCTAGGATGTGTATCGTCATGTATGAAAAGTAGATGGCACTGTTTAACCGCAGCTTTTAGTCTTTGGTGTTGTCACTTTTCAAGAGTTGAAGATACAGCAAAATGTTAATCGAATCATTACTGAGGAAGTTTCACTTTTCCAACAGCAATCATTAGCTCCAGAATAAGCTTGGTTGCAAGTATACCGACAGCCAACAACCAATTATGCCATGCTGTTGCTTATATTTCAGTATATTACTTACTTTTAAGTAAGGCTAGTGATCTATCACTATAAATATTAAATAATACTCCTTTTTCTTTAAAAAAAAGTCTGCTTATAGGACAGTAGCTGTCTATTTTGTGTTTGAAATGACCCCACAATGTTTATAAATTTATTTCAGTCTTACATATCTCAAATAACAACAAAGACACTGATTTTATTTCTGAAGTCTTTATATTGGCATTTTTCTGATGCAAATTTGGGATATGCTAAGTTTATTCAGGAAAAGAAAGTTCTCCTTATAAAATGTTCATTAGACTACAAGCACCCTTTGGGGCAGTTTCTGTGTTTGTTAAAACTGGGCTTTGAAAGCAACCATTTGGTTCTGCATCCACAACTATGAAACAGTGACATTGTTTAACTTTGTTTCCTTGAGCAATACAGGTTCAATTATGTGCAGAATTTAAATGTTATTAGCAGATGAAAATGTTTCCTTACAATCATTTTAACTGATATATATATTTTTTGTAAAAACAGTTTGCAGGAGTTGCTTGGTAAAGTATTTGGAGGAAAATAATACCTGCCCCACATGCAGGATAGTAATACACCAGAGTCACCCTCTCCAGTATATTGGGTAAGTATTGTGTTAAAAGAAATACGTGCAGAAATTTCCTGGATGTGCCTTTTCTAAAACATGAATTGGACAAAACAGTGTGCCTATGATTGGATTTTTCCATTGTGTTTCAGCAAAATGGAAATAGATAAAGCAACCACTTATTTTCTTTCTTTATTTTCCCTTTCATTTGTGCCCAAAGGAAGAGGATATTTTTCAGTTATCCTAATGGTTTAAATATATAAAAGTTTATTACAGGTCTTTGCAGTAACTATTTTAATTTCTCATTTTTTGTCTTGTCAGTCATGACAGAACAATGCAAGATATTGTTTACAAGCTTGTTCCAGGTCTTCAAGAAGGTAAGATAACAGTAAACTGTTCAAAAGGCATTTATATGTGAATAAATCGCCTCTGTGTGATGTTTGGAAGACACTATTTAAACTGTCGGATGTTTGCAGGAAATGATACAATTTACTGTTGCTTCGCTTTATTTGCTTGCTTTGTGAAAGCAAGGGCAACCACACATCACATTGGAGCCCACGGCAAAAGTTTTATTTTTTAAATGTGTCCTCAGAATTGAAAAGAAAAATCAAAGAAGCCTTTCCCAACGTGGATAGCCTTCAGATAGATAGACTTCAGTTCCCAGAATTCCCCAACCAGTATAGCTGGTATTGCTTTAAATTTCTCCATTCTTTGTCCGCATAATAATTATAAATTATATAAGATGGTTTACAAGATCTGAAGAGGAATAAAGAGGCAGGTATCCTCAACATTAATAAGTAAAAAGTTAAAATATCTTCAGTAAATGGTTGGTTGTATCCTCATTTTAGTCATATACCTCAAAAAAGTCTTTTTCTAAAAAACAGTGGAAGAAATTGACAGAAACAGGTTTTACAATTTAAACATTCCTGGCACTTCCCAGGGCATTTTCTAAATCTGAAGGAATATTGGCATCTCCCAAAGTTCTTCATACTTATAAACATAAAGTGAATATAGAAGTAATTTTGATAGTATAGAAGGAATTAAAGTGTCCAATTTTACATTTACTTATTTCACTCACATAAATATTTTGAATCTTATGATAGATGGACTATAAATACCATGATTAGGATTTTGAAAACTATGTTATAAAATAATAGTTGGTGGATCATATTTTTGATCAATCCGGTGTTAGTTTGGCAGAAGACTAATATAAGAAGTTAACTCCCAGTTGCTAGGCTGTATTCCCAAAAGTGTGGTTGGAGAACATACATCTCTTGATGTATGGCAATAGGAGGGGGAAGTGATTTCCAAAATTCAAAAAAATGAATGCATAAGTATAATATTATAAAACAAAAATTAGTTTGTTCCCTGGATTCTAATTTTTGCCAAATGTTACTGAACAAGTAGACAAGTGAGAGGAACAGTATTGAGTCATCTTAATGTGGGATGCCACACTTGAAAAGTAGTATTGCATTGTATGGGATATTCTTAAAATCCAGTTTTGTTACGAGTTAGCCACAAAAAAAGCATTTGAACATTAGAGGGGGCTCTTGTTATATGTTCTAAAAAAAGAGAGTGGAATACAATGTTTGCTTGAGTTGATGAAGTCCACATTCTTAGTTAAAGACACTATTTTAAAATGTTAAACAGCGGAAATGAAAAAGCAGAGGGAATTCTACCACAAATTGGGCATGGAAGTACCAGGTGACATCAAAGGGGAGACGTGCTCAGCCAAGCAGCATTTAGATACTCACCGTAATGGTAAATAGAAATGCATGTGCTTGTTCTTTTCAGAATAATTACTGTGCTTACCAAAGGAAATTGTTTGCTCTTTGTTTAACTAGATTAGTTTAATTTAGTACATTTATCACAACCTTGCTAAAGAAATACAAACTGTCAATTTCTTGCGTAAATTAAGGCTTTGCTGTGAGTACTTGACTAGAAAGCTGAACATTCACTAATTTTCTGATCCATGTGTTTGCAACAAGAACTTCACAGTTGGATTTCTCTCTAAGCTTTGTAATGGCCCATTTAGCCCCAGAATTGTTATACTGGCCCCATTATTTGCGCATATGTAGTCTTTCTGTTTAGACTTATGGTATCCATAAATTGTGGATATCTTGTAAAAATGGGTATAAGCTTGACCAAAGCATAGCACTCTTCCAAAATTCCATGTGACTCCCACTAGAACAAAAAAAGATTGAGAACTTCTGTGGTAGGACAGGGTTTGGCAACTTTTTCACTGTCAGAAACCATTTTGTGATTTCACACATAGTTATGGGCACCAAGAAATAGATAAACAATTGTATAAATGTAAACATTAAGATCCAAAATCTCATTCCAGGAAGACGGCTCTTGCACGATTTGTTAGTTTATAAAGTTCTGGGTGTGTCACTATGGGGCACAGTAGTTTTGCTAAGAAATCACTAGTGTAAAAATCACTAGGATAGATTATTTATTTTAGCAATTTAAGGAGCATTTTACTCCTTTAACCTTGCACAAAGCCTTATAAATCAGTGATTTTGTGTAAGATTCTGTGTAAGGTTAAAAGTTTTGTGTAAGGTTAAAGGAGTAAAATACTCCTTAAATTGCTAAAATAAATAATAAAATTAAATAGAAATTATAACAAAATAAAAGAGATCTTACATTTTCAACCCCATTGACTCTGGGATTGGGAAAGGGCTACAAATGAAGCATTGAGACTTCCTGGCCATAGGTTGCCCTCTGCTGATCTAGGACAATAATCCTAGTCTTCACAGACTACTGCACACTGGATGTTCTTGTAAATTAAACTGTTCCAAGGCAGCAAGCTTGATGATCAATAATCAAGTCCTGTGAGCTTGCTGCATTTAATAACATTCCAAAAATGTTTGCCTTTTTATGTGCCTTAAGTCTGTTAGGTAAGTCTTGTGGCAACCGTTTCTTTTGAGAGCAATTCCTAGGAGAGTTCATGCTGCTAATTCTGAGGCAGATAACATTGGTAAATGCTAGACTTGGCTCCGCTGGGAAAGTGTATATTGCTGCACCAGAGTCAGTGACAGAACCGCATTCAGTAATAGAGCATAGCATCATTGCAGAAGATTGTGCCACTTTACAAGGATAAAGCGCCCAGTTTCATTGGATACAAGATGGGCGGCAAATAAATTTCATAAATACATAAATAAAAATAAATAAATCCAGAGGGCCACTTTCTCTCAAATCACAGTGTGGTCATTTTGTAGTGCTTTGTCTGTACAAGCATTATTTTAATATGTAGTAGAGATGACTTGCTGGCTGTAGAATTCTCCTTTATTTTTACTTTGTTATGAATTGGTTGAGCTTCTTAGGTTACAGTTGAGCAACAGGGTTGGACTTTAAAATAAAAGTGTTGGGGTTTTTTGTGTTTTAACGTTGAACTACACAACGTCACGTATGTGAGATAGTCAGCTATATAAATTGAGCACTGTAAATTTCTCAGTGCTAAAGTAGGTTGCAGATATATTTTAGATAGAATTTGCTAAGTGCTATTGCAACACAGTTTATCAAAATATAATGCTGATCCTACAGAGATTTGAGATGTGAAGAGATTTGACTTCTCTGTGATTAATGGGCTTCATTCTGAAAAAGCTGTTGATCTTGATTTCATTTTGTTTCATGCAAATATTTCTGTCTTTGGAGTCTTCCCGTTCCTAACAGATCCTTTATGCTTTTGTCATAAGGGGAAACTAAAGCAGATGAGAACACAAACAAAGAAACATCAGAAGAGAAACAGGAAGAAGATAATGATTATCACAGAAGTGATGAACAGGTATTGTTGAAATATAACCTTTGAACTAGCAATTGTTTCCCTTTTTGGTGGTTTAAGACAGTATTTCTCAGTGAGGGAATTTCCAGATGTGTAGAGTTGACTCCCAGAATTCTCAATATGCTGTCTGGATAATTCTAAGAGCTGAAGTTCACACCTTTGGCAGTTGCCCAAGTACAGAAATACATGTTTAAAGTTATAGGATTTTTTCTTTAATTTTTTCCCTTAAAATACCTTCTAAATCACAACGATCCTTTCAGTGAATTCATTTCCATCAATAACTAGGGAGGTTCATTTTTAGAAGAAATGTTTGAAATTGTCACAAATGAAAGTAAGAATGTCCTAGATACCATAATTTTCAAAAATCCTAAGAATGGCTGGTTGTGACTTCCCAAACTTGACTGAAATCTCTGGCACCAGTCCTTGAATTTTTTCTGGGCAAAAATAAATGAGGGGAGACATTAGTGATCCCCTCACAGTTGGCTGACTCCCTTTTCACTATTAACTTTGTTCTCATTTACTAACTCAATCTATTCCTTACAAATTATTCAAAATTCTTTGAAAGAAAAAAAAATTGTTTTTCATTCGCAATAGCTTGCAGTTGTAGGTTGACTTTGGTGGTCAGCCGGCCTATATGGCTGTTCCCAGTTACTTCAGCAGTTCTAAAAATTACCAACTTCATTAGAACTAAAAATCTAACTACTGAAGGGCTAGAACAGTGATGGCGAACCTTTTCACGGAAACTTAGTGCATGCTCGCTCATCAGAACTACGCTCCGGAAAAGCCAATCTTCCGGGTTCTAGTGCGCATGCGCGCCCAACAATCAGCTGGTCGGTGTGCATGCGCAGGCTGGTTTTCAGCACTGCGGTGCAGACAAAGGAATTACGCTTTGGAAAAGCCAAACTTCTGGGTTCTGGCACTCAGGCGCACACCAGTTTTCAGCATTGCCGTGCGCGCGAAGGACAGCTGATTGTTGTGCACGCATACACAGCAGAAACTCAGAAGGCAAACAGGCAAGGCCACGCGTGCAGGGCAACATGGCTTCGCGTGTCACTTTGGGCACACGTGCCATAGGTTCGCCTATGTTCACGGGGCTAGAACATTTTGCATGAATAAATGTTACAGGTAGTCCTAGTTCAAATGAAATGTTACAATGGCACTAACAAAGTGTCTTATGACCATTTTTCACACTTACAACCATTTCAGCATCCCCATGGTCATGTGATCAAAATTCAGATGCTTGGCAACTGACTCATATTTATGATAGTTGCAGCATCCCAGGGTCATGTGATCACCTTTTTTTTTGCGACCTTCAGATAAGCAACGTCAATGGAGAAGCCAGATTTACTTAACAACCGTGTTACTAACTTCACAACTGCAGTGATTCATTTAACTGTTTTGCTTAGCCACAGATATTTTGGGCTCATTTGTGGTTGTAAATTGAGGACTACATGTCTACACAACATTTTTCCTTGCTGCATAATTTATGTTGTTTTGAACTGAAGAATGTAAAGTGACCAACTGTATCTGTGCTTAACATTTGAGAATAACTGGAAGCAGAAGACCTGGAACTTATTTCTCAGTGTTCTAGTTGAAAAGACCTTAGGCAGAGAGGAATTTACGTTGTTTAGTAAAGGTTGTGCATATACCATTTTATTAATCCCATGGATATTTGGATTTATGCTCATCCTAGAATCTCCAGGTTCCGTAAAGTTTTATTTGTGTGTGTGTGTGTATTTGTTGTTGTTTGTTGCAAAATCGTGTCTGACCCATTGCGACCCCATGGACAACATTCCTCCAGGCCTTCCTGTCCTACCATCCTCCGGAGTCCATTTAAGCTCCCGCCTACTGCTTCAGTGGTTCCATCCAGCCACCTCATTCTCTTTCGTCCCCTTCTTCTTTTGCCCTCAATCGTTCCCAGCATTAGGCTCTTCTCCAGTGAGTCCTTCCTTCCCACTAGGTGGCCAAAGTATTTGAGTTTCATCTTCAGGATCTGGCCTTCTAAACAGCAGTCAGGGTTGATCTCCTTTAGGACTGACCAGTTTAATTGCCTTGCAGTCCAAGGGACTCGCTGGAGTCTTCTCCATAGTTCAAAGGCCTGAATTCTTTGGCGCTCAGCCTTTCTTATGGTCCAACTTTCACAGCCATATATTGCAACTGGGAAAACCATAGCCTTGACTATATGCATTTTTGTTGGCAGGGTGATGTCTCTGCTTTTTAGTATGTTGTCTAGATTTGCCATAGCTTTCCTCCCCAGGAGCAAGCCTCTTTTAATTTCTTGACTGCAGTCCCCATCTGCAGTGATCTTGGAGCCCCGGAAAACAATATACATACACATAAAAAAATAAAAGTTTATGGAACCTGGAGATTCTAGGATGAGCATAGATCCAAATGTCCATGGGATTAGTAAAACGGTGTATGCACAACCTTTAGTAAACCAGCAACTGCACACAATAAGAAACTGTCATCACAGTGAAGGAATTTCTCCATCCCACACACACACATACTTGCAAACAAATGATTTAATTCAGTTTGATAGGCAATTGCCCCTACCTTAGTGAAAATTACTCCAAGTATCATAGAGAACATTCCTTAGAGCTGTGACGGTGAATCTATGGCACGCTTGCCACAGGTGGCATGTGGAGCCATTTCTGTGAGCATGTGAGCCGTTGCCCTAGGTCAGCTCCACTGCGCATGCACGTCTCCCGCCAGCCAGCTGATTTTCGGGTCTCTGCCATGCATGTGGGAGATGTGCGCATGTGTGGGGGGGTTCCAGGAGGCTTCAGGGAGGCCTGTTAGGCCCAAAATGGGGCATGGGGAAGGTGTGGTGCACCCCCCCACCCTCCCGTGGCCCATTTTTGGTCCCAGGAGGCTTCAGCGAGGCCTGCTAGGCCCAAAATGGGTGTGGAGGGGTCACGCGCAGGGAATTGCATTATGGGTGTGGGCACGTGGTCGTGCACACACACATGCTTTTGGCACCCAAGGGAAAAATATTTAGCCATCACTGCCTTAGAGCATATTAGAACACCCCTTTCTAGTGCACTCTTTTACTTTCTTATCCTTAAGCTCTTCCAGATTTCCTGGAAGAGTTTAAGGATAAGAGCTTTCTGTGGTGGGAGGACTTTCCCACCACAGAAAACCATTCTTTGTAGCTAGGATTGCCAGATAGGCTCCCTTCTGAATTTAAGCAGACCCACCACTGATCTGTTGTTTCCCCTTGTTACGTAACGTGGGCATCATGCAGTTTAGAATGCTCTGCTTCTGCTGCTACGAAATGAGAACTTAAATTGTAACCTGTACTGGCTCTTTCCTTACAGGTAAGCATCTGCTTGGAATGCAACAGTAGCAAATTGCGTGGATTGAAGAGAAAATGGATTCGTTGTTCAGCACAAGCTACAGTCTTGCATCTAAAGAAGTTCATTGCCAAAAAACTTAATCTTTCTTCATTTAATGAGGTAACCAGTGGTTATAGAGTAAAACAAAGAGAAACAAAAAAGTGTGGCTGGTTTTTTTTTTAAAAAAAATAATTGTGTAACTTTTTTTTTCTTAAAAAGTCATGTTAAATCCTTAGAGATGGTTGATTTTTCCTGAAACAGAATTGCTGTTTCAGTCACTTAACTAATGTATAATAAATGAAGCAGTGCCTTAACAGATATTAAGCTTTCAAAATGTGATTCTGAAGCTTCCCAATATTCCTTAGTTTGCACTTGAAGCATTAATGTAAATATATCTAGTGAGAAAAATTCACAGGGAGACCTTTAGTGGAGACAAGTTTAAAAACTGCAGAACAAGCAAGCACCTTCAGATGTTTATATGAATTCTGAAGGTCACAATAATTTCCTTAAAAATAAAAAAGTTTAAACTTTAAGATTTTAAATTACACATGTATTGTGGATGGATTGTGAAAGAGATGATGTAAAATTTCAGTGCATATTATTGAAAAATAATCTGTTACAACTAATGTCTGCTAAAGTGCCATGCATTTATTTAAATAATATCTTGAAAGCCAGTTGTCTAGGTTATCTGCTGTATTTATTGCAAGGAAATTGAGTTTGACTCATTTTTCATTAGCTTGCAGACACATTGGCTTACATTTGAGGAAAAGTCTAGTCTGATATTTACTTGGCAGTATACTAGGGCTTTTGAGTAAGATACAGCCAGTTTGGTGTAGTGATTAAAGAACCAGGCATTAGAAGCCCATGTTTTCGAGTGCCATGTTAGGCACAAAGCCAGCTGGGTGATCTTGGGCCTATCACTCTTTCCAAGCTCTAGGAAGAAGGCAATGACAAACTTTGCCAAGAAAACTCCGGGGACTTGTCCATCCAATTGCCAGCAGTCAATACTGTCTTAAAAACAGCAAAATGTTCTAATATATGTTAATGAAGATCTGTTAATTAAAATGCAGAGACTCTCTATTTCTTTGGAAAATCAACTTGAAGTCAAGAAAATAGCCCTCAGCACATTGATTTTGGAAAATCATGGATTTTATGAAAGGCAGAAAGATTTTTGCTGTTTCATGGCACAATTCAACCTGCATTTGATTCGCAGGTTTGACTAAGAACACCCACCCATCCACGCACATGCACATACACACACACACGTGCCCGCGCGTGCACACACACACACACACACACACACACACACACACACACACACAGTTTAGTATGATCTGTTGATAAATGTAAATCATCTTACTGCTTGTTTCCATTGAAAATTTTGTTCACTCAGGTATATTTCAGTTTCCTCTTTTCCTCACTTAGACTATAGTGGAGCAAACTCATTTTGATCTGTATCAGTATTTTTTGGTTTTAGTGATTTTGAGATGTATGGACTTAAACTCCTAGAATTAACCAACCAGCCAACTGCAAGCTGAAGTCCACACATCTTAACATTGCCAAAGTTGAGAAACGCTCATGCTTGCATGTCTTCAAACATTCCAGTTCATTAGAAATTTCCCCTTTGGTTTCTCTAGTCCATTTCTTAGAACTTGTTAATGTGTGGTGAGAATATTCACAAATATGAGGAGGATTTGGGGTGGTTTCATTACAGAGGGAAGCACTACTACTTTAGTAGTTTGGAAGAGATAGGCAGTAAAAATGGTTCAAAAGGATTTCTAGGATTTAATATCTAAATTTGTCTCTTATAGACCATCTATTTGATTCAGGAGCAGTGTTTATTTCAGAGAAAATAACTGACTATTCAACCTGGACCACAGTTCTTTTTTTCTTTCTTTTTAACTTTGTGAACTTAAGACACTGAGAGTCAAGGCTGGTTTGGTAGCTCTTTGGAGGTGGGAATGAAGTTCTAGTCCCTGTTGAAACAATCCGGAGAGAAAAGATTTTCCAATTATTAGACAATATATGCTCTCTTTTTTGGAGGTATCTGGCAAATTGTGAGAAGAACTTCTGGAGTGTGAGAATTTTAAGTGTAAAATTTAGTATCAGCAACTGATGGAACAGAAGGAGAAAATAAATGTACAATCATTTACGTGTCAAGTAGGACATCCGCTATGTTTTGAGGGCATACATAGGTTATAGCTGAAATAGTTACGTGAGGTTTTTGATCTTCATAATATCAGACACTGGCTTTCAAATTAAAAACAGGCAAGAAATTTCACATCCAATTTCTACCATTTTCTGTTTGCTATTGCTTGTAACTTGCCTATTTGGAAATAATCATTCCCTGGACAGCTAATTAAGTTAGCCTCCACATATCCTATATAGAATCCAATCAGGAACTCACTTTTTTAAACTACCAGTTTTAGAACTCATTTTCTCAGGCCTTTGCTTCCAGGTTTTTCAGACGATGAAGCTCAGAACTTGCACATGTTCACTTTGTTAATTTTCTCACTCTGGATTTAGTTAATTTCTGTAAGGCCAGAATATCTGGTCTTTTGTAGATTATGGAGCAGATGGTGATCCAGCAGAGTGAAGAGTGAAGTATATGCCCTGAAATAATTCTGCATCTCCTGTAAGTGCTGAAATTTTTATCTCCTACCCACCAGGCAAATTAAATGATAGAATATACATATTATTCAACTTGTAGCTTGTTGGTTAGAACTAAATCTCTAGCTGAGTTTTACAGTATTGGAAAAGTCCAGACACCTGAAGAGATTTTGGGAGGCAATATTTGACTGGTAGTATCATACCATTTCATGCCATTAAAAAGCAAAACAAAACTTTGTTTTAATTGCATCATTATTTGCATCTTGTAAATCGATCTCTTTAGTAAAAATATAAATCTTTTGTTCCTTTATCAGCTGGATATATTATGCAATGAAGAAATTCTGGGCAAGGACCATACTCTCAAATTTGTAGTTGTCACAAGATGGAGATTTAAGGTATGCAGCATTGGTAATCGATTGATGCATTTAATATTCTCCCTTTGAAACTCTAAACCTTTACTTTATCATTCATAAAGATATAACTGATGTCCTGATTCCTTGTGGTCCTTCTCTTTCCATGTTCTCAGGTCAGAAATTATCTTACTGTTTTGTTTTAGCTTGGGCAGGAAAATAAGGGGGGGGGATGCTTGGCTTTGGGACATCTTCGCTTTGGGCAAAGATAGAGATAATGTCTGCCAAAGTCTTCGGACCAGAAATGTCTAATTTCCCCACCACTTAGGGGTAGCCCTGCAGAACCTGCTGAGATATTGAGCCTGAGGGTTGCTGTGTCTCCTGGGCCATCAATCATGGGCATCAGAGTCCTAAACAAAGGTTAAGCTTAAAAACATGTTTGTTTGTTTATTAATGGTCTGCATCAGAGAGTTCCTCAAGCAATTATGTTTATTTTTCAGAAAGCACCTCTACTGCTACATTACAGACCGAAAATGGACTTGCTGTAAGAACTGTTTTGTCTTGTGGACGGTTTTTTTGCAGAGACTATCATCAGGCACCTTCTTAGTGCATCGTTACTCAATTCACTCGTGACATAGACCAGCAAAATCCATTCCTGAAAAACAGTAGTACTTTCCCACCCCATCATTCTGAATATTTCTCTGAGAGATGCATTAAACTCAACGTTCAGGACAGTAAAAATATTTATACTATTTTCTACAAAAAAAAAAAAAAGGAAAGTGCAGTTTGAACGGACACTACCAGCATGATGTTTACAGACATTGAAAGCACTTCACAGTTCCCTCTGTGTAGCTCAGTTCTTGGTCATCATCTTGAAAGATGCAAAATAGGTTAAAATGTAAGGGAAGGAGGTAATTTTCAATTTCTTGTCACCAAGCAGCTCTTGGATTCTTTTGCAACTTAGCTTAAACATAGCCCTTCCTTCCTTCCTTCCTTCCTTCCTTCCTTCCTTCCTTCCTTCCTTTCCTTCCTTCCTTCCTTCCTTCCTTCCTTCCTTCCTTCCTTCCTTCCCTCCCTCCCTCCCTCCCTCCCTCCCTCTCTCCCTCCCTCCCTCCTTCTCTCTCTCTCTCCAAGTGTCTCTTAAACCTCGCGGGCAATTGTTGATCAGTAAGCCCTTCATAGTATTTAACATTGGAAAAAAAAATGTAATGGTTGGCAGTGACTTGAGATCATGATACAGTTCTGGATTCTGCTCCTTTGTTCCTCTGCTGATTCATTTGAGGAAGGTATTGGAATGAGTGATTTCCATTTTATTTCAGTTTTCTCAGATCACACAAACTGTTGAGCATTTAGGGGTGGCGGGGGGGGGGACATCCTTTTTCTGTAATATGTGTGACTTACATAGCTGGGGCGGAAACTGGGATTTCCTGTTCTGAAAAATGAAATAAGCCTTTAGCAGCCTTAACTACTTGAACTCCAGTATTGTTCTCTTGAACAACACATAATACTAATGCTGGAGCATGCATTCTATGACAAGCATGAGTTCACTGACCTTCCTGCTGGGTTCTAGCTTCTATAAGAAGACCATTGTGTTTGCCTAATTCTCTACTTGAACTATCTTTATGTGTTCGGATTTAGTTGGCACTATGGTACTTTTGGGCCTTAACCTATAAATCTATTTATTTTTAAATCCAGCCCCCCAAGGGATTTGATTTCTCCCTCTAGACTATGTAAGTGCACTTTCTCTTTAAGTAGAGGTGGGAACGGTGTGTGAAGGGCAATGTTGCTTTCCCTTTAATATCTTTAAGGTTGGGTTGTTTTTTGTTTTTTGTTTTTTTAAAAAAAGGTTGCATTCAGTGGTGGTACCGCAAATATGGACCATGCGAAATATATGTTATTCTTCATCTGGACGGGATATGTAAGACACTTTCATCTGGGAGAACCACGTCATTGATTTTAAATACTCTAGTGTGTTCAAGAATGCATGCGCATACTCCTTGTTGCATGTATATAGGCATGTTTTCTGTCTCTCTCTCTCTCTCTCTCTTCCATATGCACATACATATATGCAGAGGCACAAGTATTCTTTGCATGAACACAAGTCTGCCTTTCCTCCATTGGGACACCAGTTTGGATGGGATATGACCAGAACAGGGAAGAAGGTGCTGCCGAGAAGGATTACTGAGAGGGTATATTTTTTTAATTTCTCAAGATTTTTCTCTTTGATGCAGAATTTGCCTTTACTCTGTCTTACTAGCTCTATTGCTTATAATCCCGCTGCTGATTGAACAGGTCCTTAGGCAGAAGCAGAGGATAGCCCAATGAGAATGGGCTATATTTTGGCTGAGTTTGAGAGAGAGATCACTAGGAAGACAAAAGTCTTGAGTTTCGCCATCCTTTACGGAAGTCACTTCCGTTTGGAGGTGTATGTTCTGGTGGTGAATATTCAGGACTGGTAGCAATTTGCAGATACACGACAGGGGTGTGGGTGAGTGGACAAACCTGAATAAGTACAGGGATGGGGCAGGAAACAAAATGCAAATGAGTAAATGCAAATGTGAGGCAAGGAAGGGCTCTTTTCATACTGTTCAGGATTTTTTAGACATCGGTAATGCATCAGATAACATATATTCAATTAAGCTATTAGATCTCATTTTCTGAAATGAATTGTTCTCACACCGTGGAAACCCTTTATAATTTCTGTTAGAAGGAGACAAAACGCATTCCTTTCATAATGCCAATTATTTCCTATATATCTGCTGAAGTTAAAAGGGTCACGGTTTTTTTTTTTTTGTAAAGTACCAGTTTCTCCTCCTGTGGCTTCTCCTGTCGGCAGCACATATTAGCTATGTTAGGAGCCTATCCCTCCCGAGTTGTTTTCCTTCTCTAATTTCATAATGATAAATTAGATGGAAATCAAAAGAAAGGAACAAAGAAGAAACAGGAGGAGATGGAGAAAGGTACAAGAGTCGGCTTGCACATGAGCAGTGGAAGTGGGAATGGAGGACAAATGGAAAAAACATTGGGCAACCTTCTGGTAGAGAGCGTTCTGCGCATGTCTTGTTGCAATGAGCTAGAGTTGAAAAAAAAAAGTACATCACACACCTTAAAAGCAATTTTCCACTCACCATACGAGATGAACATGAGTGCACTGGCACCCCTTGTAACATTTGCACTCATTTAAATTGGGGCGTGTTGCAGGAGATTTTCTACTAGTAAGTGCGCTTAAAAAGGTAATAGTTCTTAATTATATAAAATTTGTATAATAAGTAAGTGCTTACTAATGATAGATGATTGCTCGCCATTATTCTGGAAAAATAGCTGAGATATAAATAAAATGGTTAGAGAACGGAAGAAGACACTTTTATTGAAATGGGGGGGGGAGAGGGGGGGGCTGTGGGAAAATGTGCCAGGCTGCCATAAATAGGACAGCCTTTAAAATTCCCCATCTTCTCCTTTTATAGGTGACCAGGTGCTATCTGAAAACATCCTGGCTAACAGTGCTTAGTGAGTCTTAAATTTAGCCAGCCTGTTGAATTGATTCAGGCTTTCCCAAACTTTTGCTCTCTAGACATGGCCAGTGGGCTTGATGAGAGTTTTATTTCAATACATTTATTTCGAGAACACCAGGTTGGGGAAAAGTGTGTGTTAAACCTTTAAAGGGTATAATGACCTTGTGCAACTATTAACTCTACCTCAGAACAGATACACAGCTGAATTGTTCCACCAATGCCATCTTAAAATGCAGAATACACCCCCCCATACGCACATTGCGCAATTTAAACTGAGGGATTAAATAGTATTAAGGTGCAAACTGTAACCCCGTTACTCTCTTCGACTGCAGCCGTTTACAGAACCCGCACTGCTATGTTTCTAGCAAGTTTTTGAATCACTTGAATTTGATACGGTGCTATATTACTACATTATGTAATCAGGTGCATGGAACAAAAGCCAGCTGTTGACACCCAAGCTGGTTTTTTCACTCATAGATGATTATTTTCTAACAGCCTGACAACAAAGACAGTGGCAGAAAATACTTTTTTAAAAAAAGAATTTTTGTTTTCCTTCTAAACAGTTTCTCAGAATATTTCTTCTCCTATGGAAACGGCATCCTTTGGGGATTATTTGTTTCAAAGGCCTGTCTTGTTTTATCAGAAAAACGATGGTTAATACCAGTAGAACAGATTCTTGTTATATCAGCTGTCTCTCTTCTGTGAAGCTTTTAAGGGGCAGGTTGCACAATGATTTGGGTGGGAAAACATTCTGTTGATTTTTCTGGCTTTAGGTCTTCACTTCTAGTGTAAGTGGCTTGGAGTTGCTCCGGCCACATTAAGTTTGTCTAGATTGATTAAGTGATACATGATTAACTGTGAAGTAATTTCTGTTCTTTGTTTTAATTAACTGCTTACCACTGGTAAACGAAAGCAGTCAAATGGTCTTGTTGCATTATCTTTAGCAACAAAAAGACAGGACGAGGCAGGCTGATGGTCTCGCTTGGTATAATTTTCTTTTTAAGATAGAGAAATCAGAATATATAATATTGAATTTTAAATAAGATGGGGGGTTGAAAAGTTAACTTTATAAAATTATTTATTCTATTTTAAGCTTTCTCTCTTACTTTTTACCATCTAAGTATTTTTTTTTAATTATTATTATTACTTTCTTTTGGTTTCGATGGTCCAGCTTTATTTATGGGCATATAAAATGAAATTGTGAGATGTTTTTTACAAGCTTCTTCCTTCCTTTTGTGAGGGGCCAAATTAGATTTTGCACTAAATGAGGTCTCTTACCAAAAATGGCAACTGTCTGCCTGCTTTCCACCTGTTGTAAGGTCTGATGTAAAGAGCATGGTATCTTTACATTCTGTATTTCTTTCTCATCACTTGGGGGGAGGAAATCTCAGAGAACAACTTTGTAACTTATATCCTGGGTAAATTTAATGAAATGTCCTAAAGTAGCAAACAAACATAGAGCAGCGATTGGCTACCATAGTTGCCACATTTAGTGTAATTTTAGTTTGGCCCCATTTATTATTATTATTTTTTTAAAAAAATAAATGGTATGTTTTTGTATGGATAAAGAGAGCATTACTTTATGCTTTTTGTGCAATAGGTTGGAAACATGCTTCTGTTAGGCATACTTTTTAAATGGTAAATGTAGCATTGACTAACTGCAGTTTGGAGAAAGATGATGTAGGTAGTTTTAAGTTTACATTCGAACGGGATCTCCTTCCTTCTCCCTTTTCTTGGGATTCTTAAGAGTGACAAATGGGGAGTTGTTTCTGTGTGCAAGAACTACCTGTCGGCAATATTTGAACAGCAATCTGGCAAGACCTCTTCAATGTGAACCGTGGAAACTTGCAGCCTATCAGAAATGTTTCTTGTGTGCCATTGGTATGTCTGGTATTTCTCAATATGATACCATTGAACTTGGAAATATTTATTTCTTTGCGGTTGTGCAATGTTCTAGACACAATCTCTTATGTTCTGGGAGTAATACAATAATTTTAAATATCAGATTACAAACTATGATGGTGCTATTTTTTTTCTCTTCAATTGGATTCGAGATTTTGGAAAGTTTATCTGGCTCCTGTTGTTTTCACAACAATTTAATTAATCTTTGGGAAATTTACTGTCTTCTTTTCCAGTGGATGGCAGATTTATTAACATTAAGTTAATGTTAACCTATTTGCAATTATTTGAAACTGAGCTGCAAATGCAATAGGAGAAAGCCAACCAGTTTGTACATCTACACTATGACTCTTTGATAACTTTATATTTTAAATCAGTACATAAGAAATGCATTTACTGCAGACCAAACTGTATTTTACAGAAAAAAAT